ACACACACACACACACACACTCACATAATTCTAAAATAAAGTGATTTTACAGGTAAACAATGCTAAATCTTTTAGAAAACCAACTTTCTGGGTGAGGAAAATTTATTTTTTGTCCTGATTTTAGTGAGAGGGCCACTACCATAGAGCAAAAAATTACTTTTTAAAAGCTATTTCAAAACAAAATATTCGCATGATATATATTGTCTAAATATATAAAAATTAAAGTTGCTCCAGTGTTATAAAAATATTCTTTTTTGTTTTGGATGACCATAACAAAAATGTTTTATACCATAATTTTCTGTAGGTTAATGAGGTAAAATCATTGATAACATGAGAGAAATTGGTGTTTTCAGTTTAATTTTATAGTGATTCTGTCATATTTTAGTGTATACTCACTTTAATCTTTGGGTGATGGTTGTGTGAAAACATAATACAGTTTTGGTAAACTTGAGCACAGCATGACAGTCTTCAAACTGTATACTTAAAGTACAAAAAACATAGTTAAAGGGTTATAATGCATGAAATATGATTAACAAACTTTTGGTACCACTGTGAGGATTATTACATAATATTTATTTGAATTTAATTGTGTGCACTTTAAGAATGATATTATGTATTTGAATGAGATTGATTGGATGACATTTCATGTTATGTTTTATGTTGCTTGCTGATATTGTAAATATATGTCAAGTAAGTAGTAAATTAAAAAGATGATTCAAGGACTTGAGTAACAGGTTCACTTAGTTAATATTTCTAAAGATACTGTTAATTTACTTTTCAATAGTTAGTACAATGTTGCTGTATTAACTTCTTGAATCTGAATTCCATGTCAAGCAGGTAAGGTTTTTTTTGTTTCATTGGGATGAGTTACAGAAATTGAATGTTTAACTATCAGATTACTAATATCTAAATATATATTAATATGCATAGTTTAAAGGTAAAACCACCAATTATGATTCGTAGGTAATTCTTTTCATTCAAAAATATGCAACGTCTAGGCTAGAAGAGTGTTTTGATTATAGGTCAACAACTTAGTTTACTATCTCTGATTGTTAACCTGTTCAGATCTAATTTACTGACATTGTATTTCATTTCTAGCTGCGTATAGACAAGTGACATCTTCGTGCATATTCCTGAATTAGAACTTTTCTGTAATATGGTTGTTTATAAAATGTTTCATAAAAATAAAATTATGTTGAGTGCACCTGTTCAACAAATTGTAAAAAAAACAAAACAAAAAGAACTTTGCCATGATAGTTTTATGTTAGGATGCAAGTTACGTTTAGTGGTTTTTGTTAGCTTTATATCACAATATTAATTTTCAAACCTTTTATAAAACAGTTTTTACATTACTTATCAGCATAATAAAATTTACTTACAATAAAATCTTAAAATTTCAATACTGAAACTGGCTAATTTAACTCAACATAGAAAAGTGGAATTGCATGGTTAAAAATTTTAACTTTTAAATAAGTTGTTTATAAGAGGCCCGTGGAATAATGAGGTTTTATTGGTGTATATCTATAACCACTTTCTAACCTAGCATCATGATTCAAGTGTTTACACTACCACTATAACAAGTTGTGTTAATTATAGTATTTTGGCACTTGTGTATAAAGTTAAAATCATATATAATATTCAATGTTAAACTGGTACACAATTAAAAACATTTTATTTAGGCCTATCTATGGCCTTCAAAAAGTTGACGACTCTACATGTTTTGTCGTTACAACGTCATCCTCAGGAGTAACTTTGAAAC